CCGAAAACGGTCTGGATATAGTTTGAGAATGTCACCGGTAGGGCAAAGAACTTTTGGAAGTTACAAATAAGTCCAAACATTTCCGATCGAAAACGGTCTGTACATAGTTTCCGAAGCGGACAGATTGAGGCCGCAAGTTTTAAAAGTTGCTGGGTTCTCAATATTCGAATCGATCCCGGCTGAATATAGTTGGTATGCCTCTTTCCGCCACATTTCCAGACCGTTTTCAGTCCGTACATATTTTCTTATTTTATTATATTATTTTTTTGGGACCAATTTCGGTTCGCTTATTTCAATTTTTAAATAACCATTTATATTTTTTATTGAAATATCCAGATCGATTTCGGTCCGTATATTATATATATACAGACCGATTTTGTGTCGGTCTGTATATTATATTTTTTCGTACCATGTTTTTTCAAATCAACTATAGGGACCAATATCGGTCCAGATATATATATATCCGGACTGATTTTTAACATATCCAAACTGAAATTTCAGTCTGAATATCTGATTCCTGTAGTAGTGCTTGGATAAATAAGATTCATGCTATGCTTATTAGTATTGATTATCACAAATTTGAATAGAGAATATATATTCTCAATAAAGAAACATTGTTAATTGAAGAAGACAGCCTTTTAATAATCAAGAAATGACAATAACAGTGGATGAACAGGATTCAAATCCCATCGATCAAATAATTAGAAAATATAAAACTGCAATAAACGAAATAAGTAAAAAAAGTTTCTCAAGATCCATACGACAAAGCTAGTAGACCAAATTTTCCAATAGTTTATGAAAATCATTTAAGAAAAAGCAAGCTTTGAGAAATTAAGCCTAGGAAAGCATATGGTGTCTACTGAGAAGTGAATTACAAAACACATTCACAACTACCGGATTATAGTCGAGCACTAATACGAGGTACTTTACGTGCCTTAAGATGTAAAATGGTCACATGCGAATCGTTGCAAATAAGGGTCCATTCCCCATTTTTTTGGGGACCAAGTCAAAAACAGTTATAATTTTTTTTCATAATAATATTTATTATACAGTTGGCAAACTCTTTTACAAGATTTACGAAAATTTTCAAAATTGGATAGGTAAGAGCAAATGGGAAAAAGAGGAAGACAAAGAGGAAAGGATGGTATAAAAGAGGGAAACCCTTCTCATAGCAAAATAATAAGAGATAAGCTGGAAGAACCAGAAGATCGAGAATATTTTGATGAGCTTGGATATGTTCGAGAAATAAGAGGTGTGATGCTACTAATCCAATCGAGAAAATATATTTTATTACCCTCATTGATAGTAGCTAAAAATATCGCTCGTATCTTATTATTTCATACTCTGCGTGGTCAAAGGATTTTAAAGATTGGAAACGAGAAAGGCATATTAGATGTACTTATATTGGTATTCCAATATCTTAAAATGAATTTCCATTAGAATGGTTAAAAGAGAGTACTTAGAAATTCTATATCCTTTTTGCCTATGACCTTGGCAAAATGCTGTGAAGAAAAAGAAAAGAAAAGGAAAAACATGATCTTTGTTTTTTTAATTTCATCGAGAACACTAATTGACCAGCTTTTTGTTGGTATTCCTTGAGAAGAACCTTCTTTTTTTAAACCTATATTTAAAGAACTCAAAAAAAGGATTTAAAAAACTGAAAATTAAGTGTTTTAGAGCTTTAACCGTTTTAAAAGAAGAAAAATTCTTTCGAAAAGTATCAAAAGAAACAAAAAAAATGAATTGGTTAATATTAAATTTGTTAAGGCTATCAAAAATTTTTATTTTAATTAAACTATTAAAATTAATTAATAATTAGTAAAACAATTAATATTCATTATCTAACTGAATGAAATCAGTTTATAAACAAATATTTAAATATCATAATTAACTATTTAAAAAAATAATAAAATACTGAAATTACAATTAAAAGTAGTGGCTTTAGAAAAATCTTTGGTGGCAATAATCTCAACTAACACAATTGATTAGAAAGATAGGACTAACTACTAAGTTTTGTTAAAGGAGTCATTATAAAATTTTGATTACGTTTGAAACATGTTTTGATGTGTTTTTGGGCTAGCACTTAAAAAAATTAATTTCTTTGAATGCACCAGATCAATGTGATGGGTGCATCACTTGGAGGGAGATTAATCTTGAGATATGTAAAAACTACTTAAAAAGACCTTTACCATAAGTACCAAAGATGGAAAAAAAAATGTTTTGATAAGTTCCCAGCTACTTCAAGATCGAGGATAACCTTGAGAAAGAGATAGCTATATGCAAGTGGTGTCTTTAAACAAGTATAATTGGTTACAAGTGGACAATTACTAATATGATACTTAGGTGTATTATTAATTTTATCTAAGTAGTTGCTACAGATTGTAAGCCAGTTCCTACAGAAGATCTAGAAAAGAGTTAGAGAATAGAAGAAAAAAAGCATCTATTTTTTGCTATTAGGGTGGAGCTAATTAGGTTGTTAACTTAGTTCTTTTCCGCTTACAATGTACTGGAGTTGTATATCTTTGCTACATAAAGAAGAAATAGTTAGCATTAGTATCTTAGAGATATGTCTATGTTAAAAAAATGAAAGTGGATTGGGTGTCAAATAGTTGGAGGTGTGGAACAAAGCAACTCTAATAAAACACTTATGGTAGTTGTGTGATAACAAGGATAATATATGGATTCAATGGGCTAAAGTAATGTTGTTGAAAGGTAAATCTGTTTAGGAGTTTGAGGTCCCTAATGATTGTTCATGGACTTAGAGGAAACTTCATAAGTATAGGACATTTGCAAGAGATGAAATATGTATAGTAGTGGGGCATCCCCTTTGCTTTAGAATGTCAACTTCAAGTATGCATTTCACCATGGCAAGAAATTCAACTCTACAGAAGAACTTGCTAAACATATCCTTGTTTGTGGCTTTAAATTTGTGAGTTGTGAAAATGAGGGTTTTAATGCTAGGTTTTCAACTATCCAATTAGAGAAGTATGACTTAATTTGTCATTTCAAGATAATTCCCTATGAACATAAGTGCTTAGACAACATCATGAGACCAGATGGATAGGCACTACATATTATATGTCCAATGAAGCTTGTGAATTGTCCTTTTATGTTATGGGTTACCAATCAACTGTACAGCATTGCATGATAGAAAAACGCCATTTTCAAGACCTACATTCTCATTTATTATATATTCTTCAAGGATTCACGAGGGAGCACTTGTGGGAGAATTGAAGTGACGGATATAGCAACTATAAAAGGTGAGAGAAATATTAGTCTATGTGTATGCTTTAGAATGTTGTTGATATTACTCTTAACTGAATAAAGCTTAACCCAAGTTATCTTTCATTATCATAGGCAACATTGCATAACACTGGAAAGGAAAAGGCTTACCTTGTTAAACCAAGATTTTAAGTTTGAAGTACATGATCTAATGAAGAAATGAAGCATTTTATATTTTTCTTTTTCCATTTCTTTTTAGCCAAATCTTACATTTTGCCACATGACTCTTTGAATAGGAAATATATGGGCAATCATTCTTGACATTAAGTACCACTAGTCATGTGTTGTTGTGTTCTAATCTTATTTGTTAATATCAAGATGAAATATTCCCTTACTTTCTAAATTTATATAATTATAAGCAAAACTTACATTATTAATTGAATCAGGCTTCAACAAGCAGCTTAACAGATGCTGGAGAAACTTGAGTCCCTATAGGGTAGTGCTAAAAGTAAAGATGGAGAAGAAGATGTTAAAGAAACTTCTGTTGAGGATTTTGAAGCAAACCTTGAATATGTTGAAGTTAATATTAAAAGAAAACATAGACAAGATACCAAAGAGATTGCAACCAAGGATTCCAAAGCAAAACTTGAATATGTTGAAGTTAGCATTAAAAACAAAGATAAACAAAACATTGAAAAAACTGTAACTAATGATTTTGAAGCAAAACTTGAGTCTCCAAAATATAGTATTAAAGACAAAGGTAATGAAAAGGCTGGAGAGACTGTAGTTGAGGATTTTAATGCAAAACTTGATTGTCTATAAGTTAATAAAAACAAATATATATATTGAAGATGTGTGAGAGATTATAGTTAAGGATTTTGAAGCAAAACTTTGAGTCTCTAAAAAATAATAACAAAAACAAAAATGCGGAAGCTAGAGAGATTAAGGCCTTTGAAGCAAAGCTTTAATATTCAAAAGCCAATCCAACCGAAAAAGAAGAAGTGACAAAACTTGCACCTAAGGATATTAAATTAAAGAAAAGCCTGGGCATTCTAAATCAAGTACAACAAACGATAGTAAAAAGGGTTTAGAGACTACAAAACATACACTTCAAACACTTAAAAGCTAAATTCAAGCATATTCATTATGGCATTTCAGTTAATTTTAGCAATAAATTAAAAAAGTTGTGTTTCTCACGATCAATCCCTAAAAAATCAAAATTCATATTGAAACCCCAGGTTGCCAAACCCTAGCAACTGTTTATTAGTAATTTACAGCCAAACAACAACTGCTAAACATATATAACCAAAAATAATTATTAAAATTAATATTTTACTAGTTGCTACCAACTATTACTATTCACTACCTCTACTCTATCCCATATTTGTTATCCTATACTCCTACATTGTTTGTAATTAGTTACACATTACAACTATTTTTTAATTTGAATTTTAACTACCAAACTAAATAGGCCCTATGGTTGTGGCATGAAAATATGAAAATATCCTTGAAAGGGGAAAAATGTTTCCAAATACCAAATGACACTATAAGGTTGGAAATCATTATACTATCCTAGAGTTCAGATATAGTTTGGTTTTGGTTGTAGTTGAAGCTAAATTATTAGTTAATTAAAATTTCAGTTATTCAATTTTTAAAACCATTATCCCAATTGAAGAAAATGGATTTTGTTGACTTTGGTTAATTTTTTTTAAGAATAACCATTTAGATTGATTTTAGTTTTAACTGAAAAATTATTTTTATAATTTAATTATTTTTAATTTCTTAATTATTATTTTATTAATTTCAATTATTAAAAAATTGTTTAAGTAAATAAATAATTTGGTGAAAAGTGACAAGAAAAATTAAAAAAATTCTAAAAACCATTAAAATTTTATATAAAAGGTTTTTGAACCAAAATTTCAATTATACTTACCTTGACCATCTTTTTTGTTTTTAAACCTAACAACTAAAACTCAAACCATTTGTGATTGGTTTTTTATTTTTATTTTTAAAAATTAAGACTCGGCTTCCAATAAAGTTTTTCTTTTTCTTCAAATTCCCTATCCAAAATTTAAAAAAAAATGAAGAAAAGATTTTATTAATTATTTTAAACTCAAATTAATGTATTAAGAAAGCACGTTAAAACTTTAGAAACAATAAAGCTCATCTTTTGAATCTTCTGATTTTGGATTTTGAATTGTACAATGAGATTTAAGCCTCCCTCATTCCTTGACCCATCACACTTATATATTATACGACTCAAATCCTTGACATTTTACCTCTAATAGAAGAATATTACCACTTAGTTACTTATATCATTAGCAACATAAACTCTATTATATAGAGAATAAAAAATAGTCACACCCCTAAATCATAAGAAAAAAAAAAAAAAGAATACAAAAGTCTAACAACAAGGTTACAACAAAAAGTAACAACAAAAGGTAACAGTTAATAGTTTTGGATGAAAATATTAAAACAACAAATAACCTCAATAAAAGAATTACTTATAAAAATGGAGAACAATCCTAGCTATATAAACAATTCCTTGTAACAATCGGTCCTTGCATGTATACCTCACAAGAGACAACTGAGATGTGAATATTTGTATGACATGATATAAAGCATTATTATAATAAATAAAAATTTAATAAATTAAGGAATAATTGACAATTTCTTATTAATTTTTTATGTTAATGCCTTTAGCATCAAAACTTTAAAAGTTATCTTTTTAATACAACTGATCAAAGTACGTTATTTAAAACTATATAATTGATTACATGAAAGTGGCCATTACAACCATTTATTGATAACAATTAATTTTTAAATTCAAATAGGTGAAGGAATTGGTGAAACTAAAACACACTTATTCCACACTTGCTTGCTCTTTGTCAATGTCACGTCCCAGAACCCAAATCCAGGGACGTGGCAGATGCCGTGCACTCGTGAGACGGGTCCCACAAGTGCACAAGGCTCGGGATTTATTCAAATCACAAACTAATACCATCAAAATCTGAAGATCAAATTATAAAATCTCTCTGATATCATAAA